TTAGATCATTTGAGATGAGTACTCCAAGGTCTTTGACAGAGTGAGGGTGGTCTATTAGGTTGTATTCATCCAGCTTGTATTTTGTGTTCTGATTTTTTTTGGCAATGTGTAAGACAGAGCATTTGTTGGTTGAGATTTGGAGTTGCCAACTGCATTGACATCCAACTCTTCTTAGCACACTCCAATTTCAAGATAAACACACTCCAATTTCAACTTTTTGCTTTTATACATTAATATATAACTAGCCATTTCTATAACACCAAATCTTTCTAATCAACAAAACCAAAGTCAAAGTTTCATTTTTTTCTTCACAAGCACAAATTCCAGAAGTGATATCCAAATAAAAACATATTTTCCTCTTTGAATAAAATAATCAATGTAACCATTCCTGTATTTATCTTCCCTTGCTATGGAAATAATGTGTATTTCTATTTGCACCTAATAATCTTTGTAAACTGTCACCAGTTTTATTGACAAAATTCATTGTATACTTTCAAATTCTTTGACTTTACTGAAAAAAAGGGGGGAAGCCTTTTTTTCACCTTTTGTTTTCCTTCAAAGTACTAAACTTTTTTTTAAAAAAAAGAACACTTTTTTAAAAAATCAAAACTTTCTAATACATCTTTTTCTTTGACTTCTTAACATACAAGCTTTAAACTTAGGTATTACGTTTAGATCCCTCCCTCAAAACTGCCCTTATAGAATATTTTTTTTCTTCATAAACATCCTTTTTAACATAAGAGTTTTTCTTTAAACTGGTACATCATTTTCTTTAACTTTTTCTTAATACAGGTACTCTCAAATACGTTTTCAATATCTTTTGCCTACTTTAAGAATTACTTAAGCATTATATATATGTTTTTAAAAATTACATTTTCAAATTTTGGGTTAAACCTTTCTTTCAGTTGCACATATCAAGCAGAGAAAAATGCTTCCTGATTCCAGTTAACTCATTAAGTTTAAGTCACTTAATGAGCTTATTTTCATGGAGTAAAATCTTTTTCTTCTTTGGAAGTATTAAAGACTTGTAAGTCTTTCTTTTTATCATGAAATCCTCAACCTTGTTAATGTCTTTAAAGAAAAAGTCCCAAATTTGTCTTTTTCCTGGATGTTCTTCTTTCAGTTGTGTTGAAGAGGTTTATATTTGAACCATAGGAGTGGAAGTTATTATCAGGTTCTTCCAAAACTGCGATAAACTCCTCTGCATTTTCAGCTACTTATGAAGTTGCTTCGGTAGTTTGGTAACATTCTCCACATGTTTGCATCTCAGAAGTAATTTGAGAGGATTTTCATCATAAGAGAACAGCTGGTCAACAATTAGTGTATTTTATTTAGAGACCTTTCAAATATATCTCTAATACTTTGCTCCACCATCTTGGCTTCCTCTTTTAATCAGAATCAGAAGATTTTAGCCACCCACAGCTAAGAAGACCAAGCTACCAGTTACTGCAATAGTAAACTAAAATCACAGCTTCCAATCTTTATCTTTCTCCATCAACTTTTTTTTCTCACCATACTTCTTTATTTTACTTGCCTTAGCAGCCTTCTTCCTGTTCTTTGAGACAAAAAGAAATCTCTAAAATGGCGCAAGTCTTCAAAATGGTATAGCAGGCTGTAGCTAGAAAGAGCCTTTTTTAAAATTGATTTTAAAAAGGTTAAAAGTTGAAGGTGATTAAGAAGAGAAAGGCATAACTTTGACGGCATAACCGTTTGAAAGGTGAGTTTCAAAACAGCGGATTCTTCAACCCCAAACAGATTGCATCCTCTCCCCTCCCAACCTTTGGCATGCAGATAGCTTTGGAGTTCAACTCTAGAAGCTATTTCTTGGCTTACAGCTCTATTGGAGAGTTCAGAGGGGAAGTTCTTTGGCACACCTTAGCCGAGTGGATCATAAAAACCGATGGGATGCCAGTCCCTTCAGTTAGAAGCCAGAAGAGCTACACCCCAGGGAAAAATCCTTCAGAGATCTCTCCCCAGACATGTGTTCAGTTAGCCATCTTCCCGGAAGTGAATATTTACCATTTCTGATTTTTTGTTCATTAGCTTTCCAGAACTATGATGTAAAACAAAATAGAAATCATTGCTGCTGCAGTAAATAAGTCTGGATTGTCTAGTTCAACAATATCTTCTGTTTATTATCTGCATAATCCAGAAATAAAATAATAATTAACAAGACTATAAAATGTGTTAGATATATATACACCAGACACAATGATTCATTTTCAAAATGCTTCCAGTTCTTTATATTCATATTTGACTCACATAGTAATATAATCACTATATCTAGTTAGTACTGAGTTGGGGGATCATCAGAAAATGCAAAAACTCTGGGCTCCTCTATATGTCTGTCCAAATTCATTAAAGGGAAATCAGTAGAGATTTGGAGTAAGAACGTAGACCATATAAATATCTACTGGCTATTCACTTAGCTTGAGAAAGGAATACAAGAACTCCAGTTGGGAAATTTAAAAAAAAAAAAAAACTTATTTCCTCACCTCAATATTCAAAAGCTGTTTGCAGGAGCTATCATTTCTAAACTATAATAAAGAATAGTTCCTAGAAAATCATACTGCTCAAGACTTCAAAAGCTTTAACTTAGTTCATGTCTGCCTTGGAAGCCCAACAGCTCTTTGAAATCTTTTATAGGTCATTTAACAACCATTTGGAATTATGATGACCTCAAAAAGGATGATTTACGAACCGTAAAGTACTTCTGGCCATTGTAAAATGTCAAGCTGCCCTCTCCCACAGTCATATGACTGCATTTCAAATACTTGGCAACTACTTCACATTTACAAATGGTTGCAGTGCTCCACAGTCACATGACTGCTATTTGCTACTTTTTTGCTGGCTTCCAGCAAAAAAGCCCATTTGAGAGAGAAAGCTTTCAGATTTATGACTGCATGATTTGCTTAACAATTGTGTGATTCAGAGTGGTAGACTTTAGGAGAAACCCTCCCATACTACCACCTCTTACAATACTAGACAACACAGTACCTTCAAATTTCTAGGTTCTACCATATCTCAAAACCTAAAATGGACAACTAACATAAAAAAGTCATAAAAAAAGCACAACGAAGAATGTTCTTTCTGTGCCAACTCAGAAAGCTCAAACTGCCCAAGGAGCTGCTGATACAGTTCTTCAGAGGAATTATTAAGTCTGTCATCTGCCCCTCTATAACTGTCTGGTTTGGTTCTGCAACCCAACAAGACAGACACAGACTTCAGAGGATAATTAGAACTGCAGAAAAAACAATTACTACCAACCTGCCTTCCATTGAGAACCTGTATACTGCACGAGTCAAAAAGAGGGCTGTGAAAATATTTACAGACCCTCGCATCCTAGACATAAACTGTTTCAACTCCTACCCTCAAAATGACTCTATAGAGCACTGCACACCAGAACAACTAGACACAAGAACAGTTTTTTCCTGAACTTTGCTAAAGAAATAATTCCCTCAACACTGTCAAACTAGTTACTAAGTCTGCATTACTATTAATCTTGTCATCGTTCCTATCACCCATCTCCTCCCACTTATGACTGTATGACTGTAACCTTGTTGCTGGTATCCTTACGATTTATATTGACTTCTTTCCTAATATGATTTGATTGCTTATTTGTACCCTATGACTATCATTAAGTGTTGTACCTTATGATTCTTGACGAATGTATCTTTTCTCTTATGTACACTGAGAGCATATGCACCAAGAGAAATTCCTTTTGTGTCCAATCACACTTGGCCAATAAAGAATTATATTCTATTGTATTCTAACATAACAGTCATAAAATCTGGTCCAGTCACATGGGTGCCTTACCTTACAATGGAAATTATGGTCCCAATTGTAATCATGAGTCAAGGACTAATGGTACAGTATCTTAAACATAATAATTCACCTTCAAAGGACTTTTACCTCTTTGGGTTGCATGTTGATCAATCTATCATTCAGGGACCACATAGCAATGTGACCACTGGACTTAGCTAGTCCTTGGATGGGAGGCTATCACAGAGTATCAGGGCTGTAGATTAGACTGGAGAGTCAGAAAACATCTTGAACAAATTGGTATGCTGTTGCCAAGAAAAATACATGGATGTGACCCTTCAAATATTTCAGCAATGGATTCTCTGCCGGGTGGGTGTGGCCATGGTGGGTATGGCCTAGTTAGTCTCCTGCACCATGGTGGGGGGGGCGTTTTTGCCTTCCCCAGATTCTGGAGGCTTTCCTTGAGCCTCTGGGAGGACAAAAACTGCCTCCCCCAGGCTCTGGAGACCCTCCTCAGGCTGGAAACAGGCCTGTTTTTGGACTTCCGGGAGGCCTGTTTTTCCCCCTCCCTGAGCCTCTGCATGGGCCCTGCACTTACCTCACATCCAAAATGGGCCGCATGGAGACTCCGGGGTGGGGTAGGGTGTGCAGGACCAGCAAGGAATGGGATTTGGAGGTTCTCTGAACCGGCCATAATATTAGCTATGGGTTGTCCCGAACCCGGGCAAATCTGTAGCAGCCCACCCCTGGATGTGACCATGCATTAACCAGGGATCTATTTCAATTCAAACACAATTGTAGTTAATGGTATGGTGACATTATTGATTTGTTTCATTTTCTTTTGGATAAGAAAGCAGTTTTGATCTGATTGCAACAAAGTTCTTTATTGCTCCTGATAGAGAATTTCTGAACTGAAACTTGTTTGCTTTCTTAAAGATGGGGAAAGTCTATTTGGATGTATGAAAAGACAGAGCAACGAACTGAGACCCAGGGTGTTTCTTTTGCCAGAAGTTAATTAAGTTGTGCAAAATAGTGTTGGGGAATGATAACAATACTTCAATGCATTTTTTTTAATTTTCAGAAGGTACTTTTTATTGTTTTGGTTATTAAATCCTGCTTGCTTGGGTAGATAAGAAAAAACATAATGTTGTTCTAGTTGCCGCTGCTGTTCTGTTGCTATAATGCAGGATTATCAGATGATAAATAATATGTGATTTTTTTTCCTCTCTCCCTTGTAGTTGCATTCTGCTGTGACCAGAATCCAAGTACAAAGACCTGGTTTCAATTACACATTTGCTCATATCTGCATCCTAAATAATGACAAGTCCTGCATAGTGGATGATATTGTACATATTCTGAAGGAACTGAAGGCTGCTCGTTTGTCTAATCAAACTAATTTTGCTATCCGATATCCAATCACACACTTAAAGGATGGCAGGGAAGTATACAATGGGCACCAGCTTGGTGGAGTCACTGTGCACAGCAAAGATCGGGTAAAGTCTGCCGAAGCCATTCAGCTTACCTATTACTTGCAGGCAATCAATTCCTTAAATGACATTGTAGCAGAAAAATGGGAATCCAACTTCTGTGACACAGTAGAACTTTTCCAGAAATCCAACCGGAATGTCACACTGTATCCTTTCACTTCATCATCCCTTCAAAAAGACTTCCAGAAGACAAGTAGGATATCAGAACATTACCTAACCACAAGCCTAGTCCTTGTGGTGACCTTGGCAATGCTCTGTTGTTCCATGCAAGACTGTGTCCGCAGCAAACCTTGGCTTGGCTTCCTTGGCTTGTTAACTGTGACCCTGGCCATTCTCACTGCAGCTGGAATCATTAATCTGACTGGTGGGAAATATAATTCTACCTTCCTGGGAATTCCCTTCATCGTGTTAGGTAACTATATCTCATTCTGTTATTACTGTGGATTTATCTGCAATATTTATTTGATCTACTCTATTATGGCAAAATAACGAAAACAAAAGAGGACATTGTGAAGTGCTCTAGCAATTTGCTAGCCCTCTCATTTTGTTTAATCATTAGCAATCATTCAAATTTGGGATACCTTATTTATGCTTATTTTGTAGTCAATAAATCTTCAGAAATTGTTGTCTATCAGTATCTCCCTCTGCCCTCTCATTTTGTTTAATCATTAGCAATCATTCAAATTTGGGATACCTTATTTATGCTTATTTTGTAGTCAATAAATCTTCAGAAATTGTTGTCTATCAGTATCTCTGTTTACTTTGCTATGGCATATTTAACATTAGTCCCTTCAAAATACAAGGAATTTAAAAGAGTGTGTGTGTTAGATATACCAAGACCATCCAATTTAGCTAAGTTCAAGTAGGAGATATGTCTAATTCATGCCACTCTAAAAATTCTCCAGCTCACTTTAAAACCCAGATCTGAATTAAGTTTGAAAAAGCAGAGCTCCATTAATTGAAAGTGTGATACAAAAAGAACACAAATACTATAGTTTGTTTTATTCTTTATGAGCAAGCTAAATGGGATGAAGCATCCCAATTTCATGACAGATGTGGGGAGTTGTAGTTCCTTTAAATGTTTTGTTTCTAAGTGCCTCCAATTATGTTGTTTTAAGGAAGAGTGTAAAACATTTTGTGGTGAAACACTTGCAAAAGATTTTCTGAAGGAAAGTGTATTCAAAAGGACTTCCTAAATACTGTAGAGTTTATTGTTGAAACTTGTATTGAAAGCATAAAGGAATAATTCTCTGCCTTTTCCATAAAATAAATCAACCATTCTCTTGTGCACTGCTTGGAGAGTCCAAGCATGGGTTAATTTCAGTCTGTTCTGATGTCACTGAGTTGGAATTTCTTTGGCCACGCCTTCCTCCTCCAGCCGAGCCTCAGTTTTTTTTCAACTCAGTCTGCCAGAAAGACTTGTTTTGAGTTGGTTCTTCAAAATATTGAATTAAATTAGGAAAATTGGCTATTTTAAATTCTTTTCAAATAAATTCAATTAGAGCCTCTTGGTTTGGCTTGGAGTGGCGAAAACGGAGTGCAGAGAGTGATCAGTGCTGCAAATTCTGCAAACAGCGATACGATCGCTGTGGCGGCCGCCATTGCCGCATAGCATCTGATCGCGCCAAAATTCGAGCCAGGGCTGCAGGCAGGCATTGTGAGAGCCTTCCCTTTGAGCTGCATGGGAGCAGCTGGTCGGAGGAACGCGTGCTGAATGTAAGACCGGTAGCTGCCATTTTGCTGGTGGTGGCTATTTTGTTGCAGCATACAATGCAGCATAAATTTACCAATTGAGAAGCTGGGCAGTAATTGGAGCAAGGGATCTTCTCCTGAGACCTGACTATCGCAGGGAATCATGGCCACGCAAGTAAAAACTGTTTCACCGGTTTATAAAGCATTATTTGTTGTGTTGGCAGCCACGTTATTGGAATCGAGCCCTGCTAACACCTGAGGTGCCTGGTCATTGCTGCTGCTGCTTGTATTTACAGGCTAACAAACCATTTTGCTGGTTTGGGTGTGATTTGAACTCTGATCTGCACAGTGAGTAAATCTTTCACCTTCTATTATCCTTGGGAATTCTAAAACCTGTATTCTGGGTTAGACATGGCAAATAGTAGTGATTCTGAAGATTCCTCACACTCCCAACATCAGGCTGATTGTCCTGTGGTTAAAAAGCCCAGATTGAGATCTAGCAAGGCTTCTTCCAGCACCCAAGCCAAATCTTCCAAAGTTTCCAAACCTCCATCTGTAGCTGCTGAGAAAGATGTACTGAGGAGGCAAAAAGGCTTAGAAAAGCATTTTGCAAAGGCCCAGCAACAGGCTGCAGCTTCTAAATCCCCTGAGGGTTCCAGGAATCTGGAAGAATCTTCTAATCCTTTATCTTCAGAATTGCAATTGCAGGAAGTGCAGGAGGATCAGCCTAACTGGTCTCCCACTGTACCTTTGGAATCACATGGGTTCCATGCAGTTCCCTTTCAGGAAGGATTCGTCCGTAGCTTTTTAAAGGGAGCTGCCAACCTGTTACCACCGATTGTACATAGATACCCGACCTGGGATCTATAATTGGTTTTACAAGCACTCACCTTGCCTCCTTTTGAACCGCTGCGGACTACCACGTTTAGACTGTTTACATTTAAAGTTGTGTTCCTGGTTGCGATTACATCTGCATGCAGGATATCGGAGCTAGCGACACTCTCAGTGCGCCAGGATTTATGTATCTTTCACCCGGACAGAGTCATTCTTAGATTGGACCCTACCTTTGTGCCAAAGATAAATTCCTGGTTCCACAGGGCACAGGAGGTTATTTTGCCGGACTTTTGCCCCAATCCACAACATCCAAGAGAAAAGCGATGGCATGCATTGGATGTACGTAGGGCCTTGAAACGATACATTAAACATACTGCCTCCTGTAGGAGAACAGAGGCCTTGTTCGTGTCATTCCAGCCCACTTCGATGGGGAAGAAGGTGTCTCCATCCACCATTGGGCGTTGGCTCAAGGCTTGTATTGCTTAGCTTATGAACAACAAGCTCGTCCAGTGCTATGTCGTATCACGGCGCACTCTACTCATAGTGCCGCCACCTCGGCAGCCTGGGCTACACAAGCATCAATTCTGGAAATCTGCAGAGCTGCCATTTGGACTTCCCCTTCACCATTCGTGAGGAACTACAAGTTGGATCAGTACACATCAGCTGAAGCAGCGTTTGGGAGACGGGTCTTACAGAGAGTCCTGCCAGCCGAGGAGACCCTGGACCAAACTGCTTCCCACCCAACATCACTTTAGCTTGGGTATATCCCATGCTTGGACTCTCCAAGCAGTGCACAGGAGAATGAACGTTGGGCTTACCTTGAACGTTCGTTCTATGTGCACTGCAGGAGAGTCCAATCCCACCCTGGCTGTTACTGGTCCGGGGTCCAGGAGAGGTCGGTACTTCGAACGAGCTGCGTCTTCCCTGGTTTCGGTTTCATTGAAAAAAACTGAGGCTCGGGACTTCCGGTTTCCTTGTCTTCGGCGACGGCGGTGCCTTTTGAAGCGCCGCCAGCCCCGCCGCCTGTAGAGCCGCTTCGCGACTGAGAAGCGGCTTGAAAACTTCAAACTCCTTAGGATTTTTGAAGAAGAGATCGCAGGGCACAGGTTGAGCCCCTGTAACCCCCCAGGGAAGTGTTTCTGGGGAGGGAACAGGAGCGGCTCCCGTTCAACCTGCTGAACCTCCGGGCGGCGTGGGACAAGTCTGCTTTCGCAGAACAAGCCAGCTGCAGGAAACTTTAAAGCGCAAGGAACCAGCCTCAATAATCAGTGAAAATTACTTGAACCCAGAAACTCGGAATCGCAAGTATTCGATAGAGTTTTGTTAATGTGGATGAGTGAAAGTGAACTGAAAAAACATGGCGCTTAGCTTTAGAGTTAACAAGCCTGTGAGTGTGGATTAGCAAACCTATCTTGCTTTGTTACAAAGTTTTTAAGTTGCTACAAAGTTGCTTCATTTGTAATAAGAGAAACAAGAGAAAAATTCCTCCCCTGATTTTGTTCTATTTTAGTCCTCATTTGACTAAATCTGGGGGACTTTTTCAGAAATCTTTGTGGAGGTGGGAAAGGAAGAAGAACTTCCCTTTTCAGAAAAACTAGCCTACATGGCAGGATGGCCTCAAAGAAGCAGGAAGTGAAGGCAACAGGGGGGGGGATCCCCCACACATAAGCATGAAACGCAGCTTCCCCCTGCACAACAGATACAGACTCAGAAAAAAGATTTTGATGTGGGAGATTTAAAAGAATTTATTTCAAAAATTTTGGATGATAAATTTCAAAAATCCCAACAGGAAATAGATGACAAACTTCAAAAGTTTCAACAAAAAATTACGCAGGAAATTAATGAAATTAAAGATATGGTGGAACAGAATCAAAATAAGGTGACCAAAAAAATATCAGAAGTGGCGTCTGGCCTGGCAGAATTTATTATCAAAGTTGATTCCAAAGTTGAAGAATTTAAATCAGAAGTCAATGTTAAGATGAAAGATAATGATTATAAAATTTCTGATGTAGATGATAAAGTGCAGAGTTGAAAACGAAATTGTTATGTTACAATTCAGGGCAATGGAATTCACTATACGGCTTCGAGGAATTCGAGAAGATGATAGACAGGATTTGAGACAGATCTGCTCTGAGGCTTTGGCTGAAATTTTAAAAATTAATCCTGATCTGGTTTTTCACAAAATAGATAAAATTTACAGAGTGAATTCTTGGGTGGTCAGACAAAGACAATTGCCTAGAGATGTGGTCATATATTTTACAGATAGAGCAATAAGAAATGACATCCTGCAAAAATCTTTTTACACCTCTGTGCAAGTGGGGGGCTCACAAATTGGAGTGTACAAAGAATTACCACCTAAAATGTTGAAAACCAGAAAAGACTTTGGCTTCCTTGTTAAAGAATTGCAAAATCAACAGATACCATTTCGGTGGGACGCCCCAACTGGCATAATTCTGAGATACAAGGGAGAAAGATATCGATTGAATACTGTGGAGAAGGCGGAGCATTTTTACACTACTATTCTTAAAGAAAGAACACCATCTCCACGTACATCCACAGTGTTGGAGATCAAGGGGAGTGATGAGAAGCAACCTCAACAAGAATTGCAAGAACACTCTAAGCAGGAACCAGAAATGCAAGGCGCTGAAGGAGGCTTTCTGGATGAGCCTTTGCTGGAATCTTCTCCAATCTTGGACCCGGTTCGGATGATTGAAGTTAAGGATCAACGTATAACTCGAGCTAAATCTAAGCAACTTAAAGAAAAGCAAAAACAGGAAAGACAAGATAAGAAGGGAGCTAAGACTATTACCCAAGAGACTGGAGCCATGGGAGGAGCGAGACCGAAGATTTCGGAAGATATTCGGTTATTCTGCTCTTTGCTCCAGA